GCGACGGGCACCGCGACGGGCACCGCGGGCTTCCCTACAGCTCACCGTGCGAACACACGCGAATTGTCTGCTGCAACTCTTCAGCTGAAAGCAGCTGTAACAGATCGATCTGCTGTGTTAACCCTCTGCGCTGCCCTGCAGCTAAGGATCCCACAATCAATCAGGCTGGAAAACACCTCTGAGATCGTCAAGTCTAACCAATGACCTAACAACACCAGAACAACCAGACTGTGACACTAAGTGCCATGTCCAGTCTTTCCTTAACCATCTCCAGGGATGATGACTCCACTGCCTCCCTGGGCAGGCCGTTGTTCCAGTGTCTGATCACCCTTTCTGTGAAGAAATTCTTCCTAATGTCTAACCTAAACCTCCCCCGGTACAGCTTAAGCCTCTGTCCTCTGGTCCTATCATTAGTGCCCTGGGAGAAGAGACTGATCCCCACCTGGTTACGACCTTCTTTCTGTAGTTGTAGAGAGTGGTCACAGTACTCGAGGTGTGCTGAGGAAGGAAATGGGGAGTTTTCACTGCAAGGGAATCCTGGTGATTTACAAGCATTTTAACACATATTCTAAAAGTTGGAAAAGTAACCCTAACATCAAAGCATTCTCCTTATACAGAGAACCTGATCAAGTGTGAAACTCTTACACTTAACGCAGAACCTACAAGATTCCTTTCATCCCAAGGAGATGTCCAAGCAGCAAAACCAAAGACTTTGCACTGTCACAATAAAATGTAGTTTGACACAAACTGTTCAATACTAGGATAATGATATTCTTGCTCCTGTTCTTAAGTACCTAAATATTTTTTTTTAAAAAAGATAAATCCTTACAGAATAAAAGGCAAGGAAGAAGTAACACAAACTCAATACAGGAACAGAAGCTAGAGAATTATCAAAATCTGATATCCATTCATGAAACTCCAAGTGGAAAAGCTGCTCTCTAAACTAGTAAAACATAGAAAAGAGAAAGTGAAGTTTTAAAAGAGAAACCAACTTTGAAATGATACTGAAACAGATATTTCAGCCAAGTGACTTCAACCAATTGTAGATAAAAGGAATAACAATGACAGAGAAAGGATTATTTTGGATAAAACAGAACTTTTAGAGCACTAGATAATCCAAGAGAAGAGTTCACAGACCTTTTCATATTCAGCATACAGTAAAGATGATCACCCAAATCACCAGACAGATGAGATCTCAGCCTTGTCACTACTTCAGTAGTTATGTATTCAGTTCCTTACACAGGTTTAACACAAGTGGCCGAGAGACATCAATTCTCTCCCTGAGCATGTGGCAATACGGTTATTAGGAAATTAATTTTTTTAATGGTTAAGCAATTAAAAGAAGCTAAGTCTTGTAGCTTTATAATTTTTGTATCAAATACCTGTTGGTATTTTTGCTAATGAGCAAATCCTGATATTGGTCCTTTATTCATTTTCCTTGTTTTCCTAGTATTGCAGGTAGAATATAAACAGATTTACTTAGAAGATCATCGCCTTCCCTCTTCCAATACCTGGTACATGGTTTTTCACTGCTTCTTCACACTAGTTTTATACACTAAAAATTTATCTATATGTTTCTGTCAGTTATGAACTGGCAATCTACTCAAGTGGCTGTATTGCTTCCACACACAACCTGCATAGCAAGAGGCAAAACAACATAGCAAAGTCATGAATCTCCTCCACACCTGAACTAATAAACCATGACATGTTCCAGCTGGCACTATGTATCAACAGCTCAAATGTCTGTGCTAACAACAAACAATCCAGAACCCAAGTAAGTCATTCACATTCAGTTGTGACTGTCCTTTCCTTTCCTTCATGCTGGTTTACTACAGATTTAATATCAGTTTATATTGGAATTACTAGTACCCATTTATGAGAACAAATCAGGTCTCTAATACTTCCTTTGTCTTATCACAAAACATAAATATTGTTATGCATTAAGGACAGCTTTGGACTTTGATCACTCCAAAGTGATTTATTACTGTAGATGCTAATAATCAAAAAGCTGTAATGAGTTTTTTGACAAACACTGAAAATATAAAATTGTTAAGACATGCCATACAGCAAATGTAAATAAAGAGAAACAAAAATATCTACAGCAAGGGTACTGAAAAGCAGGACAGGAAAGGGAATCCCTGATGATTGTGAATTATTGTACTTAGCTGATTATGTAAATATTTGCAACACTAGTTGTGTGAAGCCACAGTAGAGAGGTGGGTTCCCATTACTTTATCCTTGATTTCACAGGTCTATTAAACTCACAGAGGAAATGCAAAATCCAGAAGCTAGATCCATTCTCTAGAGTAAAGTGTTTTCTAATCATGCACTTATTTACCTCTGAAGTTTGGTATTTTGGAAACAATCCCCCAACTTGAAGCCACTAGTCTACTACTTCATCTGTCTTCAATCCTCAGCCTCATCACACCCAGTCCAGCCTTGTCCCTTTACCTTTTGGGTTGTCTGTATTCAGATCTTAACCTCACTTTGACTTTCCTTTCCTAATACAACTCACCTAGTCATCTTTCCCAATCAATTCTAATTCCATTCACAACTCTTCAGCCATTTCCAGACTTTCATACAGTTCATATTCTCCTATTCCTCAACTCTTAGTGCAGGGTACACTTCCAAAATTTTATTTCCAAGTTCATTTCTTTAGACCTTGCAAAGTGTCTAGATTTTCTGGTAACTTGTTCAGTCAGTCCCAGTCTTTCCTCTTTACCTCAGCTGTTCTTTTCATCTGATCTCAATTATTTCTTACTCAAGTCAAACCCTTCTTTTGTCTCATTCATGCTCAGATACTGCTTTTTTTCCTATAGGTCCAACTCTCAGTCACATTCTCTCCCTTCCATTCCTCTCACTATCATCACATCATAACCCACAAGTCCTTCTGTGTGAGCAGACAGGTTCTGGAGAGGCATGTTCACTGGCACAGAGGGACCATTTGCTCTCAGTTCCAATACCTGGAGAGCTCTGTTGGACAGCAGCTTGTATCAGAAATGGATAAAGTCATGCTTCACTTTCATAGCCACAGGAACACTTGCTAAGCACCAAACCTTCAGAGATCTTTACCAGTAGGGACAGTTTCTGCAAAGCTTAGTTCAGATTGACTAACATGGAGAAAAAAACCAACAACTTCTAGCTTGGCCAAGGCAGAGATGAAAATTATATCAAGAGACAGAAGCACAGCTAACTACGTCTGAAAGAATTCCAGTGTAGTTCTCTTTGTCTGAAATACAAAGCACACATTCATACGTAGTGCATTAAGTAGCAATGAAAGTCACTTAAAAGTTTTCAAAAGTGAGCAGAAGAGAGTAAGATTGTGGGAAATTTAGATTACAGCTTGATGGCTGTTTGAAAGCCACATTATTCTAGTGATCATTAATAATGATCACTATTTTAATCACTGAAAGTGCATACTATTACCAGAATAACACCTACCTCTCATAGATGGTTTTTAAAGTGAGCTGATCTGGAATTCCTTCTGTCTCTTCAAGATGTAGGATAAGCCACGATGTTCTGTATGGCCACTGCTCTGTGAGATTGATCCAGCTAGCCAGTCTGTCCCAATTGAATGTGATCTGATTAGCTCTCAATAAACGACCTAACATAACAGAGAAGGAGGGAAGAAAACACAGTGAATTTCTTTTTTCCCTTTTGAAAGATACCTGGTTTTCCTCAGAATTACAGCTATGTAAATCCTTTAATCTGATCTGTGAACTTTCTGCTATTATATTCTTAGCTCAGTAAATTCAAAATCATCTCAAGTTGCATCTAAAAAATATCATTTTATAACCTAATAAAATTTTTTGAAAGTACTGGTCAGAATATGAGAGTCTCCAAAACTGTCAACTTCAGCCCCAGGTTAAACACTAATTACTATCATTTTGTTACAGGTGAATCTTACCTAACTTCAACAAAACTCAATAAAGAATTTCACATAGCATTAATTTCTCAGTCTAAACACAGAAATTCATGCTAACACTATGACAGATTTTCTATGCACAGGCATATGAAATGTGGTCAAAACAAGTTAAGCATACAACTGTCAACTTCAATAGCCAGTACAGTAAAATGCAAAGCTATAAACAAAAGACTAATTTAAGTTAACAAGGCAAGGTATAAATGGCAAATAACATTATTTTTTTTAAAACAGAATACATAAATGCTACAGGTTATGCATTTAAAGTTTTAGCATATTTTCTAGCATTGCTTTATTAATACTGCTAATGACATGTAACTAACAGCCTCAAGGCTCTGCTCATGAAGCTGTTCATGAAATCATCATATCTAACTGCAAATTACAGTACACAAAGTGTTCTTGCAGGGTGGGGTTTTTTTAGTTTAATTTTACAACTAACAGCTTGTGATTTTGTTATACTTTCATATCTGCACTATAATTTGCCAGAACAAGACACGTCATGCTACCAGTTGTAATGACAAAACTAAGAGACTGCACACATCTAAAAGATTAGCTCAGAATTTTAGGTCTGTTACAGATTTATGCTCTTAACGATATACAGTGTGAAAAGTAACTCAATTTGTTTGTTCTGAACCAGTTAGCTGTAGGGCTATTCAGTGTCTTTTAGTGTCTGTAATAGAAAAGGCAGTAAATAATCATTCCCCACTCACTTACTACATGAAACTTTACTTTTTAGACCTCTGCAAGCCCCTAAGTTCTAGTTTTTAAACCTCAGAGATACCAATGTCTTGATTATATCTTGTTGAAGAAAAACAGGCCAAAAAAGGCTTTCATCAGCCCCACAAAACCATTTAAGGCAAGAGGACTCCAAATATCTATAGCAAAAATGTACAGGATATATGAAGTTTTGCCTCATAGCTTACCTTACCTTTTCAGATACCAACACTATGAGCCTTGTTAACACTACAGTATCATGAAATTGAAAAACGTATTTTTCTTATCCCACTTCGAAATTAAAATATAGAAAAATTTCTAAGAATGTAGACCAGAATCATTTGACTGAAGTCAATAAAACAAATATTTATTTAAGTTTTTCAAATACTGAATAGAATGGTCTATAACCTTTACTTGAACTATAAGAGAGTTTGGTTCAGAGGGATTTTCAAAATCAACACGTGGACTGACTTGTTAGATGTAGTTCACACACTAAAAAGTCTAAGTGTAACTACAAGCAGCCAAAACACAAGACTGTTTCCTGTACACAACCACGTCACTCTTACCCGTCACTGAAACAATATTTAGCAGTCTCCTCATGGTCTGAGGGCTGATATCACTGAACCAATCCTCTGTAACCAGCAGCTTGGTCAAATCAAAAGACATCTGGCGGGTGATGGTACGCTGCATCTGGCGTCTTCGGTAGGTGTCCTGACAATGATACAAAAAAAGCAAGGACTATTGATTAGTATCAAAAACTTTTATGTATCTGAAATACTTCAGTTTTACTTGATTATAAAGTTAGAGCCTTTAGGTGTGTCTGTGAGGCTGACATGAAATATCAAACCTATTTACCAGAATTTAATCCTGATTTAGCTGTATAACAGTTGAGTGTGATTTCCACAGAAGCCATGAAGTGGTAAGAGTTATACATTTTACTTCCTCTGAGAAGGCAAAATAGAGTGACACAGTGAAGTATTTTGTAAAAAGGTTACTAATTTCAGCATTGCCATCATTGTTTCCTACTGTCCCTAAAAAAAGTTAATCCCACCCATTTACAAACTACATTTTAAAATTAAAGTGACCATCAGTCATAGTTGAAATTCCTTGATTCACTGAATTACTACCTCTTGTTGCAATGATTTGATAAGTCTTCCAAGCTGACATTATTAAAAATATGAAAGACAAAAGAAAAGAACAGAAATAAACAATGTCTTAACCAGTATCTCTACTTAGTCTAAAAATCTTTCTCACCCGCCTATTGAGAGCAGTTTTGCTACCAAGCTTGGTCATGTCCCCAAGACTGTTCTGAGAAACTCTCCTGTCAACCTCTTCATGAAATCCTATGGAAAGGAAAACAAAGGTGAGCATTTTCTCCATTCACTGATGACACTGATGATGTGTCAATTATTCAAACAGTTTGTCCCAAATCCCAGATTTCTGGATCACCGGTTTTGTAACTGTCATATCTTCCCCTGCATAGCCTTACCTGCAGTATCTGCATAAGGAATATCCCCGTTGGTTGTTGATGCTGCCATCAGTTTCCTTGCATTGCTAAGCCCTCGGCTGTTCAGGAAAACAGGCAAATGGACAATGTTTCGCATGTAATCGTGTCCATTTATGTTTGAATCACGTAGAACACTGTTGAGATTCTGGTTAATAGCCTTTATAATAATATGTGGGTCACTTGCAAAAATAGCAATAAATGGGCCTTTTGAAAACAAGACTCTCACCTGTAAAAAAGTAGACAGTACACCGTGTTAATAATAATTAATTGTAACTGTGGATCATTTGCACATCTGACTCAAGGTTTGATATTCAATCTGTTCAAGTTATAAGCCTGAGAGGACAAGAGATGTTTAGAAATGTCAGCTTCTTCAATATGACATATCTAGTGTTAGGAACTTATCCACAATTAGAAATCAGCATACTTGGCAATTTAGCAGTAGTAGTTACAGTGGAAGTCATCACCAAGGAGGTATGCAGTAATGTCACAGCCCTCACAAATATTTAGCCTTCTTTCTACAGAAGACACACAATAACTATGTATCTGAGCTCATCTATGGAAGAGATCATCCATATGACCCAGAGATGATAAAATGATCCAAACTCACAGTATCGAGCATCTGCAAAACTTTGTCCTGTTCACAAGCATCTAATCCATCGATAATTACAACAAGCCTTGTCTGGTTCTGAGTGAAGCTGTCAATGGTTTTTGCCATTCTGGCCATCAGTTCCACTTCACATTTCAAAACCTGTAAAAATGAAAAGCAAAGAAGGAAAAGACATTTCTATAATACTTAAAATCATAAAAATACAAAGAATTCCTTCTGCAGATTGCTACTTGCCCCAAAAATACTTCAACAAAGATTACAAAAATAAACTTATAAATACTCAAAGGTCCCAAAATGTCACTTTCAACATTTTAATTTCCTATTTGAAGAAAAACATGCAGTAGAAACACATATTAGACTTCGATGTAACAAACTGCCCTTATTTAAATTCTGGTATTATTTAAGAAAGTAATATTTTGTAAAGTAATGTAAATAATGCAAGTTATGTAAGTAATATAAAATAGTCTTTCAAAAGTAAATCAGAGTATTTATAGCTTCAGCCACTAGTCCTCCTGGACAAGCTTGGTAAGTGGATCCATGGGAATCTCATGAGGTTCAACAAATGCAAGGTCCTGAACCTGCACACTGAACCCCTGGTACCAATACAGGGAATCAACAGATCGAGGGGAGCCCTGCTGAGATGGATTTGGGGACACTGGTGGATGAGAGGCTGGACATGAGTCAACAATGGGCCCTTGCAGCCCAGAAGGCCAACCATGTCCTGGGCTGCATCAAAACCAGCACAGCCAGCAGGTCCAGGAAGGTGACTTTGCCCCTCTATTCTGCTCTGGTGAAACCCCACTTGGAGTTCTGCATCCAGCTCTGGGGCCCTGAGCACAGGAAGGACATCAGTGTATTGGAATGAGTCCAGAGGAGGCCACAAAAATGACCAGAGGGATCAAGTACCTTTCCTATGAGGAAAGGCTGAGAGAATTGGAATTGTTCAGTCCAGAGAAGACAAGACTTTGGAAACCTTTTTTGTGGCCTTCCAGTACCTAAAGAGGGCCTGTAAGGAAGATAGGGACAAACATTTTACAGGGTCTATTGTGAGAGGACAAGGTGCAATTGTTTTAAAAACTGAGGGAGGGTTCATTTAGATTAAAAATAATAAGAAGCTTGTTTACAATGAGGGTGGTAAAAAACTGGCACAAATTGCCCAGAGAAGTCGTAGATACCCCATCCCTGGAAACATTCAAGGTCAGGTTGGATAGGGATATGAGAAACCTCATCTAGTTGAAGATGTCACTGCTCATTGCAGGAAGATTGGACTAGTTGACCTGCAAAACGTCCTTCCAACTCAAACTACTCCATGATTCTGTGAAAAAATATTTGCATAACATAATGTTATACAATATATTAGCTGTAATCTACAGAGGTAACCCATCATGATGCTATCAAATAGAGCATATAGTGCATTTGATGGCAGCCTAACTGACAAATTTTTTAATCAGTTTATAGATACAAGCCAGCAAAACAATAATATTTTCTATCAATTTTCATGAAATACGTGGACTGTTCTGGAATGTTCTTTCAGCACTACAATTCCTTTCTTACTAAAGAGGTCTTGCAGACAAGCTAGGCTTGGTTTTTCACCATTCAAGGACTCTCACAGTTATTCTTTCTAATCTTATAATCTAAAGTAAACTTTTACTAAATACTGATAATTTAGAACAATTGTTTTCATAGTACCTTCCTCCCAGCAAAAGTAAAATCAGAAAACTGAAAGCTTTATCCAAACTTAACATTCTTGATTGCGCAGACACACACACTGAGCACAATTACCACGGGCACAGAAATGTTCCCCCTTCAGTAAAAACTCACCAAGTATCATTCTACTGTTGTGAGACTTGGCCTGATTAAACAAATGGTGCTTCATATCAAGAACGTTCCATGTTTAGGGGGTTGTTTCAACTCCCTTTGTGGCCAATTGACATAAATGCTTACCTTCATGAAACCCTCGCTTTTCAGCTTGTGAAGCTTGGAGGCAGCATTGTGAAGACGTTTTCTCTGAGAGTTCAAAACCGAATCCATCACTTGCCACCACGTGCGGCAATTCAAGAAAAAGGCCAAACCAACAATGCAAGTAACTGTTATTAGAATAACGTTCACTGTCATGTTGGCTGATTCCACATTAAAAATCGCCAGCAGCGCAATCGCAGAAACAACGCAAGACAATATGAACAGGAAGATCACAAAGGATGGGAGACAGCAAGTTTTCTTCCACTTCTTTTTACCTAGGAAACAAGTATTTGTAGTTAGAACGAATGTACAGTGTAGTGACAGGTGAGTACAAAATTTATTAACTTGCTAACTTCTCATAAAACACTAACTTGCACCAAAGCTTACCGCAGTGTTACCGCCCAGTCACAAATCCACAGAAAAAAATCATCTGTATTAACCAAAATTCTTGAAAACTACCAAATGGAAATATTCCTTTAATCTTCAGCTTATTTCCATCATTTCGAGAAAACCACATGGGATAGAAATTACCATTATTACACAGATTTCATATCAGTGGTATCACCTCTTTTGTGGCATCCCTCTATAAAGTGTATTTATGCAAATAAATCCTATGAAAACAGTATGGTAACTACTCAGTTTTAAACCATAACCTGGTACTTATCTAATAGTAATGTTTCCACTGGAGAACTAAACAACATGGCAAGTGAGTGAGGGGCAAGAAATGAAGAATAACACCTCAGTTATAACAGCAATCAGTTCTAAACATTTCGAAGCAGGAAGGTAAACTTCCTCGTGCTCAAAAGAGATAGAACTGGATTAGAGAGACAACAAGGAATCATAAACCATGAAATGACAACAGGCTTCTCTGCAAGTTTATAGATCTAACAAAAATTTAAGGTACAGCAGACTAAAAATAAACCTATATGGAATGTCTATGAACATCTAGAGACAATATACCTATGACCCCGAACTTGCAGACAACTGGAAAAAAGGAGATGATGTGCAAAAATCATCAAATAGATAAAATAAATGTTTAAAAAATCAGTTAGCCAATTAGGAGGAGCATGGAAAGGGAACAGAGCCAAGGAATACAAGAGAAATATAAGGTTACAAATCAAAGGGAAAGGATGATTACTAAAAATAACTGCAGGAAGCCAGCACTACACTGCCATTTCCAAGACAACTTTGGGACAAATTACAGCATCATGAAAACTGCTTCAGAGGTTAAGGAGAAGAATTGCAGAAAGCCTAACATGGAAAAAAAGGGTGAAAAATTCCGCACATCCCTTTCATAAAGAACATTCAGTGAATTTGAAAAAGAACAACGAAGAGTATGTTGTGTTGAGCACAAAGCCGAACACAGCAAACACAGCACGCTTCTTCTGCCTTCTGCAAGACAGAAGAGTCTAAACATTTCACTTTGTGAGAAGGGACAGCATCTAACAGATTCCTCAATTTGGGGACAAGGTCAAAATGAAATGAGAAGCAAACTGACTGAAACTGAACTCAAAGGACAAATAAATCCTCAATTAACTGGAAGTTACCCTCAAGAACTCTTTCTTCACAGTATCATACTCTGCACTGTCTGGGTTGGGTTTTTTCCCAGAAATCTACAGATGGGACACTTTGTTTTATTTGGATCAAGTAGGAATATTTCATGCCATCTTATCAGCACTGCTCACAACAATTTATCACTTTGGACCAACATGTCCTACATATTTATTATTTCCAAGAATAAGTAGTGGTCACTGATAAAAGCTCTAAATCAAAATTCTAATAACCTAAACAAACTTCTCCTAGCAATGCACAAACCCATACTTTTCCCTTTATCTGACTCAGACACAATGACTTAAATCCTACAGAAATATACAATGCTGCATCTGCAGGGATGTAATGCAAACGTACAGTTCCACTGACACTTCTGAAAACTGTACTTCACAGAAGATATTCCTTTATTATACTAATAAAATCAAGATTAGCGAAGCAAACAGGGCTTTTTTTCTCTCCAAAACAATAGGAAGAGTTTTCCCCTCTGCATGAATTTCTGCATGGCTACAATGATTTCTAAAAAGAGCTTGTAATGTGAAAAGCAGAACCCCTGGTAACAGTGCACTGAAATGGAATAATCAGAAACGTCATTCAGGTAAAAAAAAAAACCTTGTGTATCTTCTGTCTTGAAAACTCGAAATAGCCTTGTTGCTAAGAAACCAAATTCTCTTTCACATGCATCGGAGAGCGTAGCAATCATCTCAGCCAATGAAGTTTCTCCACCTACACTGGACAGTCTATTGTAGTCTGTAAACAAAAATCTGAAAGAAAAAAACATATTTTGTATACTTCAGAAAGCTTTAAATATTATCTGGCAACCAAAAGAAAAATCTTCCTGCATCTTTGCGGCTAAAAGTTTTTTCAAGTTGTACAAAATGTCAAACCTTTATATATTTATTTTTTAAAAACTCTACATGGAATTTAACTATTCCTTCTCCATTTATCGATGTCTTCTTTGCCCCACTTTCTGTTCTAAAACTTGACTTCTTAAAAGGATAAAAATGATAACGTCACTAATGGCACCTCAGATGGCAGTAAAACCAAAAATATCTCTATGATGGCAAAACACAATACTGACATGTATTTTTAAAATTACACTCTGATATATTTTTAAATATTTATACAGGATTAAAAAAAATTACAGAAGCACAAGATCACATAAAAGCACTACAAGGCTAAAATGGACGTCTCTAAACAACAGAAATAAATGAAATTATAAAACACATGGCAAAATTTTTCTTGTTTTCAGGTAAACTAGAAGCTTTCAGCAGTTGCATGCTCTGATTACAGGGGGGAAAAAAAAGACAAATAAAAGGCAGTAACAGAAGTGATCAGTGAAACAAGCACTGAATGTAATACACAGTAAGCTATACCAGAAAATTCCTATTTTGTTTGGTACAAATTTTTTTTAGTTTGATAGTCAAACCCCCTAATTCTAAAAAGCACTAACTTTCACTGACTTCGGCAGATAGTTTTTCTTGAAAACACTACTATCTTCTTCACAAGGAAAAGTTTAACTAGGACTACTGTTTTTCAAACAGGAATCTCAACAGCATTTAGATAAATATGTACATGAAGAGGCACAATTTGAAAAGTATCAGAGTGAATCTGAGTGATTCATTCAAGAGTAAATAAGTGAAATAACTAACCTGACAGGTAAAGCTTTAGTGGTTTGCTCTGGCAATTCCGGTGGGTTCACAAACATGAGTTTGAGAAGCAACTCTAAATATCCAACGTGTCTTGCCAACCTTGTACTTAACACCCAAGCCCAGTTCCATCTCTCCCCTTCTCTTCGGCCACCAAAGTAAATTACAGCTAAAATATTAAAAATTAAAAAGAGATGTTATAGCTTTATTTTAGTCAATGTTCACAACTGAAAGAACCACATAGTTTGGTAAAAGAAGTTACTGAACTTTTAGCAGTTATGGCTAAAAATGAGAACGGTATGAGTAACACAATGAAATTAATATGCAAAATTATTCTGTTTTCAAGAATGCCCTGTCACAAATTACACATCAAACACAAGGGAAGAGTCCAACAAGATCTCATTTTCTACAAAACCATTTAGTTTTGTTTTCTGAATCACAAAGCACATCTATAAAACAATACTTAATTCCATAAATAAAAACCTTCACAAACTTCATATAAAATAAGACTTACTAAAGAAAATGTAGAGAACTGCTAATAAGCTGAGTGACACTGCTATTCCAAGCTTTGCATCCACTGTGAAAGCAAGCAATAAACCCAAACCTCCACACAGCAAAAGAGTGAGGAATACAATAAGCCAGGAGAACTGAAACAGAGGTTCAATCTGCTGTCCTGCAAAAGTCTTCATTTCATCTAAAACAAAGACAAAGACCAGTTAACATGTGAAATCACTGTAGAATGGATCATGTATGAAAAGAAACACTTTTTCAACAGATTGTATAACTTATTCCTACTATTGACCCCCCCAAAAAAGACAATGATGCTTGAATTCTTCCCCAAATATTAGTGCAAAAACTTAAGTTTTCATCCATGTGACGAACGAAAACATTTAAATACAGAATACTTGCACTCATTGCTGCAGATTTTCTACTGCAGCAGAAGAGGTCTGAACCTGATCTGACACATAAATCGGCCCAGCAAGGTGTATTTCAGCAGCCATACCTACAGGGTACTGCTGCTGGAACCTCACAGGACAACAGACAGCAACACTTCAAACACTGTCTTCACATGATATAAATGAACAATGCAATCTATGGATGAACTGATGACAGTAAAATTTAAATCCTTTCATTACATAAGCAGAGACTGAATACAACATTACATGGACCAACAACTCTTGCAAAATATATAATGCTTTTCATAGTCAGATTGGAACCTACAGAAAAGTCTAAATCAACTTTTACCTTCCAGTTTCTTGAGCAGGAAAGATTTTCCACTTCCCCACTGTGCATACAAGCCTACACAGATAGGTGGCTGCATGGTTGGTTCACTCAGAATATCCGCCAGAGCACTGCTGTACAGATCATATCCCAGCATGTCGCCATCAGATTCCGTGGGAGACAAATGTCCTGCAATACAAACACTATGTCAAACAACTTTGCTCCAAGAAAGCTCTTCAATGTGACAATTTTCATACATAATATCATGACATATTCACCTATATTTGTATATATACTCCTTCCAGATAACAGCTGTTATTACTGGCACATTCCTGTTCAAAGGAATTTTAAAACATCCACATAAATGTGATATAATTATCACAGATATTCAAAGAAAGTAATCCCCACACAAGCAAGGTCCAATTAAAACCAAAGTGATCAACAGAAGTTGCACAGTATCCAACGCCAAAAGTA